TGGAGGGCACTGCTAGGAATAGTACGATTTCAAGAAAATGTATTGTAATTTTCTGGTACAGGACTACTTCAGTTTATGTCACTAACTTGTATAGATCACCACACTATATAAAATAAGTCAAAAGAACACCTGATTTGGTAAACTCTAAATGTAAAGGTAAATTTCACAACATGACCTTTTAAAGCAGAGCTCCATGTCTTTAATATATGAGGCCAGAAAATTGCCACATCTAAGATTTTAGCTTTGAACTTGATCTCTTTTTACTTTCTTCAGAGAAACCCTTATTCAACACTGAGTGGACACTTACTCTGTGCCAGACCCTGGGTTAGTTCTGGAACAAAATAAAGCTTATACTTTGGCCTGGTAACACAACAGGAAATTTAAGGAAAGAGATTATCCTAAAAATCACAAGGGACATTTGTAATAATTGTTACAGTTGAATGATGTCGTTCTGCCACTGCTCTAGAAGATTCGGTGAGTAAACGCTATGTTTAGATTGTGCTCTGTCTAAAGTGGGTTATGGAATTTACATCTTTAAGACAAAGTCTATGATAGATTCAGGGAGTCTGGGATTTGTACCCCCCAAAATTATGTATTTATTTTAGCTAACCTCTGACAAAGTCATCATTTCCTTCAACTATGAACATAAGCTACAACTGTAATAAAGACTGAGTAGAATAATAGGCTTTGTACCAAAAGAAATAATAGATATATTTTTATATCATGTTATATTTATCACATGATCATTTAAAAATTATTATATTTATAAGACCCACTAATAGATAGCAAAAATTATATTAATAAAAAGCACATTAAGTGCTATATCAAAATAAAAATATTTTGATAACTATATTTCACATTTGTTTTCCTTAAAATTCTATTTTTTTTTGCATATTAAAATTATTCCAAAAAAGTAGTCCACATGATCTCACCATACTGCCAAAGGAGTTCACAACCCAAAGAAGTAAAAACTTCTGCCAAAAAAATAAACAAATATAATCACATCTAAAGTAATTTCTATAGATTTAAAAAAACTGCCTACTTTCCGTTAAGTTTTCTATACACTTTTTTTCTCTAATGTACAACAAAAACAAATATCACTATTTTTAGCAGTTTTCACTTTAAAACTGGTTTGCAAATAGTTGTGAATGTGACATAACAGCCTAGCAGATCCATGGGTTCCACTGGCTTTATTGGTAGTATTTATAGTCCAAACATAGAAAGCTTCAAACTAATATAATGTTCAACTTTCAATAAGAGAGAGAGAGAAAAAAGACAAAAAAAAAAAAAAAAAAAAGCAATCAAACTTCAAACACATGTCGAAGTACCCATTTGACAGGGATATTGCGAAAAGGGAAGTTTAGGACTAGCAACAGAAAGGTTTAAGCTTAGGAAACAGAAGGTGCTGGAAGTCACCTTCAGAGCAGTTAAGCAGGAGGGCTGAGCCCTGACCTCCTCACTCTCTCCTTTCTAAGTTACATTGTTTCTCTAATGTGGCTGATGTGATGATAAAGTAAAAAGTAAAAAAGCAACCACAATCTTGAGCAAAACAGAACTCTCACAGTCATCACTGATAATTAGAAAATACTCTGACTTTGGGTTTCTCTAACTGAAAAAACTCCCTGCAAAATCATGACTTTTTAGAGAAATTTTATCTTTCAAATTTAGGGTTACATAAACATTGGTGTGACATATTTCTGTTTAATTCAGAAATGTAATTATCTCTATTTGTAGAAAAGCCAGATGACCTGGCTTCAGATCAGAGTTATGTAATAAATAATTGAGCTTGCTTTTTCTATGAATATTTCATAAATTAATTATCACTGGGCAGGGTAAGGGCTGGATGAAGGGGAGTATAAAGGGTAAAATGGGAGACTTCTGTAATAGTATCAATAATAAAATATATATTTTTAAAATAAAAGAAATAAATAGAATAATAACAGAAAAAAATTAATTCTCACCAGTGTTTATAACATGGAGAAGTTACTCAACTACCCAAGGGAATCATGAATGGGATCTGGTGGTTTACAAAATCCATGAGACTGAATACAGAATTTGGTGAGTATACATAGATTTCAGATTTTTAAAGGGCTGTTTAACCAGAATAGTGGTCGACAAACCGAGGCTCATGAGGCACATGTGGCTCTTTGGCCCCTTGAGTGTGGCTCTTCGGCCTCTTGAGTGTGGCTCTTCCACAAAATATCACCGCCTGGGCAAGTCTATTTTGAAGAAGTGGCATTAGGAGAAGTTTAAGTTTAAAAAATTTGTCTCTCAAAAGAAATTTCAATCGTTGTACTGTTGATATTTGACTCTGTTGACTAATGAGTTTGCCAACCACTGAACCAGCAGAACCATTTATCTCTGCCACAGTTAGGAAATATAAAACAAGAGAAAGCAATAATTCATCCCACAGTCACCGAGTAAGTCAATGTCAACAGAGAGTAACTGGAGACTTCTGAATCCAAGGCTCTATCTAAGATCATTCTCTTCAAGGGATCAAATCTCCAAAGAGAAGCTCTCCAAGAAAAATGAAACCTCACCTATTTATGGAAGGAGAAACCATAAGCTGAAGAAGGAATAACGTTAAATCTTTATCAAGCAGGCCATTATACTACTGATTTTCAAAGGGAATTAGCAAAGCAGTATACGTCAAAAAGAATCATTACATTCAGGAAACATAAAGACCCCAGAGGCAGTGTTGTATTTTCCAAGCCTAAATGGTCAGTTACCTTGAAGCATATATTCTGTTCTAGAAAGAAATTCTTTAGTAGTTCCTTTTAGTTATGTAGAATGTAAGCCAAGTAAACATCTAATATTCTAGAACAGTGGTAGGCAAACTCATTAGTCAACAGAGCCAAATATCAACAGGACAACGATTGAAATTTCTTTGGAGAGCCAAATTTTTAAACTTAAACTTCTTCTAATGCCACTTCTTCAAAATAGACTCGCCCAGGCTGTAGTATTTTGTGGAAGAGCCACACTCAAGGGGCCAAAGAGCCGCATGTGGCTCGCGACCCTTGCTTTGCTAATCACGGTTCTAGAAAAATGTTTAACTTTCCACTTTTTTTCAAGGTTAAAGGAAGGCTATCCCTCACCATTCCCAACTCATTCCCATTCAAGAACCTGCTCTCACTCCCCGCTATCACAAGGTGCACGTGTGTGTGTGTAGGAGGCGCTAAAATTACCTCACACTTCTTATATTAGATTTTTTTTTAATTGGGTGGCACATCAGTAGCACCTTCTACAAAGGACTGTAGAAAAGGAGGAGGTAGTGTAACTCACTTTAGTTCATCTCATCTGCATCACTAACAGCTCTCATGACAGAGAATCAGTAGGAAATAAAACCACAGCTAAAACATCATTGGAATAACTCCCTGCATAGCATCATTGCCAGTCTTGGCCTCTAGTGTCCAAACCACTGAGCTGAAATGCTAAAGACATTAAAGCCTCACCCATGAGGCACTGGTCACCACTGTTGACCTTCCAAGACTCATCCTGGCTTCTCCTTGATGGTCACCATCTGTTGGCCACTGATCATTGCACCAAATTCCATCCTCAACTGATACCTTTTTACTAGCAATTGTCTGTACTTGCAGAATCACTAAAGATCAAGACTGAAGAGAACCCTGAAGGTTGTGTGTCCCTGCTCCCGTTTTATTACTGGCAGAATGACATCTGTCTCTATCTGCGATTCCCTTCTAAGCCTTGTTCCCACCTGTCCCAAAGCTCTCCCTTCCTCGATGTCCATTGCTAGCAGTTTTTCCAATGACAAACCCCTCTATCTTCACTGCCGCTGTCACTGTCACTGTCACTGTCCCTATTTCACTATGTAAGTTCTGGTTCTCACCACGGAGACCCTCAGTTTCAGTCCCCAGTCCTAACTAGTCCCCCCGGGTATGTCTGGGAAGCCTTCTCCAGCGAAGTCTGTATCTCACAGAGCCTGCGCCTCGGGGACAGGGACCCTCTTCCCCGCTGCGTCTTTGCCCTTACAAACAACCCTAGAATCGTGGCCTCTCAGACCTGAAAGGAAACCCAGAAATCATGTGGTCCAATGTCCCCAGGCTTTGTTACTACGTTTTATTTCACACACCTTACGGTATCCAAATCCATTTTCCATCGCCACTTCATAGACACATAACTGAAACAAGTTGCGTGCAATACTTACCCTTCTTTGTGAGCACAGTAACCATTTCTATTATATATATATATATATATATATATATATATATATATACATATACATATATATATATATATATATATATATATATATATATATATTTAAGCAGGTGCCATCCACTAAATGGATTTCTCAACTCCATCACAGGCTGGAACCCCTCATCTAGGGAGCATTCCTCTAGTCCCAACATCCCGCGCACGGAGGGAGAAGCGGGCTACTCCTCTAGTCCGGACTCCCGGGTCACTGCGCTGGCTCCGGGGCGGAGGGCGTTCCCGGCCGCGAGCGGGTCCGCAGAGTTCAACTCGGGGCGGCAGGTAAGTGCCTGGCCGGAGTCCTTTCCACCCAAGACCTTCTCCGCCCAGCCACGGCCACGCAGCCGCACCCGCGCCCGCACACAGCCCCGCAGGGTGACCGTCCCGTCAGGGGCCCCCCTCTTCTCCAAGTCGGCCCCCCAAAGTTCCTGCTCCTCCGTCAGCCTCTCTCCACAGCCGCTGCTTCGTGCTCCCCCCAGAGTATCGCCCCCGTCCATCCACCGGTCTGGTCTCCCCGTCCAGGACCGGCCCCCGGGCGCAGCCCCCGCCGCACACGGGGGTCCCGGTGCCCTCGCAGCCTCCGCGCCGTGCACGCTGCGGCCGGGGTCCCCTCGCGGGCGGCGCCCTCCCGGCCGCGGCGCCCTCGCTGTCACTGCCCCCGGGTCAGTCACCGCAGCCTCCAGCCGCGGCCGCGCACCGCCCTCCTGTCACTGCCCGCTCCCCTCCGCTCCCGCGGCCCCGGCCCCACAGGCTCTGCCCTCACACAGCGCCGCGCGGGCGGTCCCCACCTGCAGCTCTCGTCCCCGCGACCCCGTCCCGCCGGGTCCTCCCGGGCGCAGCCTCTCGGACGAGGGAAGTTGAGGAGGTGGTGCCGGGAGACGCCCGGGAAAGGCACCTGACGGAACCGCCGGCCGGAAGTCCCGCCCACTTGTCAATCCGGACGCCGCTTTTCCCTGAAAAAACCCCGACCCCGGACGCACTGGTTCCGCCTCCGAGGAGGCCCCCGGGCGGAGGGACCGACGGGAAACGCCGGGCGGGCGGTGAGTTGGCGGAGGGTTAGGGTCGGCGTGGGACGGCGGAGGGTAGGGCGGCGGCCTCCGGTCAGGCGACGCGCGGGGGAGCATCACGCGGCTCCCGGCAGCCCGTCCCGGCGTGGCGCCCGCCCCGCAGCCCCGAGCTCCCTCCCGCGGGCCGGCCTGGCCCCGCCCTCTGTCTGCGGCGCCAGGCGCGGGTGCCACACACTCGCTCCAGGGCGTTCACCGGGCAGATGGCCGCAGCGCCTTCCGCCGAAGCCCCGCCCGGCCGGCCGGCTTCCCCGCCGGCTGCTGCGGAGAACTGGGGTCCGCCCACGGAGTCCTGCGAAAGCCTGTGGCCGGCTCCAGACCCTCTCCCTGAGCACTGAGCACTCACATATGAACACACCCAACCCTGTTCTTCCTTTAAAAAATATATATATTTTATTGATTTGTTTTACAGAGAGGAAGGGAGAGAGACAGAGAGTTAGAAACATCGCCAAAACCGGTTTGGCTCAATGGACAGAGCGTCGGCTTGGGGACTGAAAGGTCCCGGGTTCGATTCCGGTCAAGGGCATGTACCTTGGTTGCGGGCATATCCCCAGTAGGGGGTGTGCAAGAGGCAGCTGATCGATGATGACTCTATCATCGATCTTTCTAATTCTCTCTCTCTCTTCCTCTCTGTACAAAATCAATATGCCTTGACCAGAACCAGAATTGAACTTGGGATCTTTCCTTGACCAGAACCAGAATTGAACTTGGGATCTTTCAGTTCGCAGGCCCACGCTCTATCCACTAAGCCAAACAGGTCAGGGCTGAACCCTATTATTTCTGCCCCCCACCCCCCCAAACCCGTAGCGTAGGAACTAACAGGGCTAGTGGAAGAAAAGGAGGTTTCATAGACAATAACCTCACAGGGTGATCTATTCATAAATTCCTGGGTAGTCATACCCAGACATAGGACATTTTTAGTAAAAGGCTTATTTTTGCCATAGCAGGTCCTGTCCTTTGTTTCTGCGCATCTAAGGCTTAACATACCTCAGACCCCTACTCAAACATGACCACCCCCAAGAGTTTATCCTGTAATTGGACCCCCAGCTTGCTTTTCCCCACCTCCATGTGATCTTCCTTCTGTTCCCTCCATAATCTCAAAGGCATAAAAGCTGCAAACTGTTACTGTGAATAGCATTTGAGATCTTGCTTCCCAACATATGCTGTGGGTTTAGCTCAAATAAACTCATTAAAAAAAAAAGTCTACTGGTTTGGATTGACTGGTTTGGCCAATAAGATTTAAGGGAGACCACTGGGAGAAAATCACATGGCAGGGTGTTCTTTGCTGGAATGAACCTTTGAATGGGTCCCTTTAGGTTCTATAGATGTGGGTAAGGAAAGTAGATACCCGATGTTATGGGGGAAATATATAAAACAACTTTTTATTACAGCTTATTCTTTTTTATTTTTGTCTACATGCTTAAAAGTGGCTCAGAAGAAAGAGGTGAGTAAACTTCCACATCTGCTGAGAAGCCTCCAGGGAGAAAAGGGGTTTAAATTGCGGCCCTTTCTCTTTGGCGTTTCAAACAGTTATTTGAACAAGGCTCTGTTAAACAAGGACTTAAATGAATTGTTGTTCTTTTTTTGTTTTCAATATATTTTATTGATTTTTTACAGAGAGGAAGGGAGAGAGATAGTTAGAAACATCGATGAGAGAGAGTCATCCATCAGCTGCCTCTTGCACACCCCCTACTGGGGATATGCCCGCAACCAACGTTCATGCCCTTGACCGGAATTGAACCCGGGACCCTTCAGTCCCCAAGCCGACACTCTATCCATTGAGCCAAACCAGTTTTGACTGTTCTTGTTTTTTGAAAAAGGTTTTATTTAGCCAAAAAGAAGACCAGTCTTGGGGCATGAAATCAAACCACCAGCAGTATACGTTTCTGTCATCATGGAGTTTGCAATCATTTTTGTTTTTTGTTTTTAAATGTTTTTTATTGATTCCAGAGAGAGGAGGGGAGAGAGAGAGAGAGAGAGAGAGAGAGAGAGAGAGAGAGAGAGAGAGAGAGAGAGAGAGAGAGAGAGAGAAACATCAGTGATGAGAGAGAAACACTGATCAGCTGCCTCCTGCACGCCCCACTACTGGGGATCAAGGCCGAAACCCTGGGCATGTGCCCTGACTGGAAATCGAACTATGACCTCCTGGTACATGAGTAAGACACTCAACCACCGAACCACATGGGCCAGGTTGCAGTTGTTTTTTATTCACCAACTGGGGGGTGGAGGCGTGGGAGAAAGATTTAAGCTGCTTGAAAGAGTGCAATAGCTACAGGCAAAAGGGGGTGAGCAAAGGTAAAGTAGTGCCAGCTCTGGAATAGGCGCAGAGCCCACAAAGAAGTGTCTGCTCCTTTGGACTGGTGGGCAACAGTCCACAAAGTTCATGCACAAACAAGAAGTTGGAAGGTTAATTCTTTGAGTAATTGCATAAGTAATCACCTGGAAATTCATCTGAAGTTCCAACAGACATGAATATGAACAGCCTTTTGTCAGCTGGTCCACACTATTAACAGGCTAACTGTTCTGTCTCTCTCACTCTCAGAATTTTCTCCTTGTGAACTCACAGACTACAATGGTCCAAATAAGGACAGCTCGCTGGAGAAGACACTAGGGACTCTAAGGAGAAGATCACTACAAAGATAACGGAAGTTGGAATAGTAACCAACATAATTTTGGAGAATTTTAAGTGAGGGCTAATTTCATACACAGCTTGGAAACTCGCAGACCCTGTCAGAAAGTCTCTGACACTGGAAAAATCCTGGAGAAAACAAATGCATGTTTAAGCTAATGAGCTGTGTAAGCTGTAGGGTGGAAAGAGCTGAGAAAAAACAGAGTGAGAGATTTTTAAAAAAATCAAAATGTAGGGAAAAAACTTCGTAAGTAAATTCACCTCAGAGTTATTTATAATAGTAAAAAAGTAGAAATAATCAGTCCTTCAGTAAGGACATGGCAAAAATAACCAATGGTATAACCTAATGGAATAAATGCAACTATTAAATTTCGCTTATGAAAATCAGAATGCAAGAATCCAAGATGGCTGCGCCCAGGTAAACACCTAGCCGCAGCGCACACAACAATTTCAATAAAATACAACTAAAATATAAAATGGACATTACCCAGAACTACAGGAAAGTCGACTGACTGGAAATTCTACAACAAGAAGCAAGGAGAAAACTAGAAGGAAGAGCGGAGGAGCTGTAAGAGCCCAAGGTATGGAGACATGCGGCACGCGCAGAGAGGACGGAGCCGGAGAGGAGGGAGGCCGAGTGCCTGGCTGGCGTTCCCTAGCAGGAAGGAGATAAAACTCCGACTGCTCTGAACCCCAGTTCTAGGCCAGACCCCGGGGACCCAGGCTCATCCAGAGGGAGCTGGGCTGTAAGGCAGAGCCCCGGGGAAGCAGTGAAAGGAGGTCCCGGTGGTGTGCACACTGCGCGCAGAGAAGTGACAGTCGGCTGTGCCGCGGGATTGCCCTGGGGGGAAGGAGACGGGCTCCAGACTGCTCTGAACGCCACCTCCAACCCCACTTCCAACTGAACTGAACCCCAATACCGGGCTCATTGGGGGAGAGCAGAGACTGTTTGGCAGCAGGCGAAAATCGAGGGCACCTTTCTCTCAGAGGCGCTTTGCGGCGAGTACTGAAGGACCCGCATAGGGCGGGGCTGACGGAAGCCAAGGCTATAGGCTCCATCCTGAAACCCCGCCCCATCTGTAGCTGAGAAATGCGACAACGAAATAGATCACAAATGAAAGAAATGGAGGACAAAAAGCGACTGAATATAGAGTTCAAATCTACGCTTATAAGATTTTTCAAGAATTTCCTAGAAAAGATCGATAAGACCTATGAGGATATGAAAAGAGATCAACTAGAATTAATAAGGAATCAACAAGAAATGATAAGGGATCAACAAGAAATGATAAGGGATCAACAAGAAATAAAGAATACATTGTCTGAAATAAAAAATATTATACAGAGTCCTAAAAACAGAATGGAAGATCGCAAGAATAAAGTCAAAGATTTGGAACATAAAGAGCCAGAAGACACTCCTCCACAGAAGCTAGAAGGCAAGAGAATCCAGAAAATTGAAGATAATGTAAGAAACCTCTGGGACAACTTCAAGCAAATCAACATCAGAATTATGGGGGTCCCAGAAGATGAGAGAGAGCAAGATATCGAAAACATACTGAAAGAAATAGTGACAGAAAACTTCCCCCACCTGGTGAAAGAATTAGACTTACAAGTCCAGGAAGCGCACAGAACTCCAAACAAAAGGAATCCAAAGAGGACCACACCAAGACAAATCATAATTAAAATTCCAAGAGCAAAAGACAAAGAGAAAATATTAAAAGCAGCAAGAGCAAAGCAGGTAGTTACCTATAAAGGAGCACCTATACGATTGTCAGCTGACTTCTCAACAGAAACCATGCAGGCCAGACGGGAATGGCAAGAAATATTCAAGGTGATGAATAGTAAGAACCTACAGCCAAAGATAATCTATCCAGCAAAGCTATCACTCAGAATCAAAGGTCAGATAATGAGCTTCACCAATAAAAAAAAAAGCTAAAGGAGTTCAACACCAAACCAGAATTATATGAATTGCTAAAGGGGGTTCTTTTAGAAGAGAAAGTAAATAAAGATAAAAATTATGAACAGCAAATACATAAATCAACAAGTGAATCTAAAAACCAAGGAAATTAAAAAAAAATCTGATGAACAATATTAACTGTTGAATATAATAGAATCAGAGGTATGGAAGGGGAGTGAACTGACGATTCTTGGGGAAAAGGGGAGAGAGGGATGTGAGAAGAGACTGAACGTAAACTGTGCACCTATGGATGAGGACAATGGGGAGTGGGGAAAGGGTGGGAACCTGGTGGAGGTGGAGGTGGAGGAGAGCAATGGTGGTGGTGGGGGGGGGGAGGAACATTTGTAATAATATGAACAATAAAAACTTATTAAAAAAAAAAAAAAGAAAATCAGAATGCAAATAAAATGACAAAAATTACATGTGACTTGAGTAGTGAAAAATCCGGTTACAAAACTATGATTTTTTTTTAATAAACACCAAATTTAAAAAAAAAAAAAAAAAAAAAAAAAAACACTAGTAGAAAATATACCATGCCAGAACCGGTTTGGCTCAGTGGACAGAGCGTCGGCCTACGGACTGAAGGGTCCCAGGTTCGATTCCCATCAAGGGCATGTACTTTGATTGCAGGCACATCCCCGGTGAGGGGTGTGCAGGAGGCAACTGGTCGATGTTTCTCATCAATGTTTCTGACTCTCTATCCCTCTCCCTTCCTCTCTGTAAAAAAATTAATAAAATATATTTTAAAAAGAAAATGTACCAAATATTAATAGTTATGTAGAACAATTTAATTATGGATTTTCCCCTACGTTTTTCTCTACTTTACAAATGGAGTTAGAACACAACAAAATCAAAACATTAACTAAGTCCTAAAACTCAACAGACGCCGAAACTGGTTTGGCTCAGTGGATAGAGCGTCAGCCTGCGGACTGAAGGGTCCCAGGTTCGATTCTGGTCAAGGGCATGTACCTTGGTTGCAACACATCCCCAGTGGGGAGGGTGCAGGAGGCAGCTGATCGATGATTCTCTCTTATCGATGTTTCTAACTCTCTATCCCTCTCTTCCTCTCTGTAAAAAATCAATAAAACATATTTTTAAAAAAACAACAAACAGACTCAGTTGCCAAACTGCCAAGTTATTTTTATTTTGTCAAAATATTTAACAATATAAAAAAGTTCATATTTCTTCATAGTCATACCTTTTCCCAGCTTTCAAATTTTCAATAGTAGAAACAGCCGAATGCTGCTGCAACACAGAATAAACTGTCCTACAGAACAAACAGAAAACACACACAAATTCAGAATGTTAGGATGAGTAAAGATTTTCTGAATGCAGAAATAAAATTAAAAAGAATGAACTTTATGTAATACACATTCATAAAATAAGTATTCCCATTTTTTTCTGACTTATCAAAGAAATAATATATAAAACTTATAATTTCTTGGAGTAAATATATTACCCATCTCAAATAACTATTATAGTATCATACATAATAAAAATAACAACTCTGTGTCAAATTCTGGATAAAGGTAAATGGCCTCTAGATGTTTGTTCTTAATTTAGAAAATTCATTTTTCCATCTTTTTGCTCAGAATCCTAAAATGCTTTTCAGATCCCAGTTAAACTTTTAAAGACACTTTTTAGGTATTTTTTATAGGAACTCCACCTGTCTCAGCAACTCCTGGCCTACCATCCTCACCTCCAGCCTGGCAGTGATGAGAAAAAAATCTGCTCAAGAACCTGATTATTAACCAAAAGCCAAATTCTTTGGTTAGCCAAGTTCTCGGGCTCCCTATGTAGGCTGACTGTGAGCTGAGTGCTATCTGAGGTGAGGGACCTGTTTTTGTTCTTGTTCTAATTTTCAATCCCTTATGCACTGATACTTTTGTAAAATATAATGAAAATAACTAGCAAAACAAAATGAAAAAAGAAATACACAAATACAGCCTAAAAATTTTATTATTAGATATAATGAACATAAAATCGTCAAATTCTTACAAGAGTTTCCAAACCATTACACTCAGTTTATATACTTATCTTGTCGAGGACCTGTGCCACAGGTTCATGGCCCTGGTCTGTGGCTCTGTTTGACTGGCTGCTCTACAGTGTCGCCAAGTTCTCCGGCAGGACTGAGCCAGGCTATCCACGCTGCGGGGCAATTACCCACTCAGAAGCATATGCTTTTCTCTCCTCTCACTTCCTCATCCTCTACTGGTGCTTCCAGGGATCTTCTCCCAAACAATAAAGTACTTTAAACTCTGAAAATGATACCTAAACACTCAACCAACTGAACTAAAGGTACACACAGTACACTAACTCAGCAACCTAAACCAGGCTCTCAAAAATGATTTTTAGCTGAAACCAGTTTGGCTCAATGGATAGAGCGTCGGCCTGCGGACTGAAAGGTCCCAGGTTCAATTCAGGTCAAGGTCATGTACCTTGGTTGCGGGCACATCCCCAGTTGGGAGGAGGGAGGGTGCAAGAGGCAGCTGATCGATGATTCTCTCTCATCAATATTTCTAACTCTCTATCCCTCTCTCTTCTTCTCTGTAAAAAATCAATAAAATATATTTTAAAATGATTTTTAGACACCGCACCCTCCAACCCTGTGTTCTAAAATCTGATCCTGGGAATATTGATAACTAAAGTTTTATACTACATATTTGTTAATTTGAATATTGTCTGGCCCCCACTGTTTATAAGCTCTCTATAGGCAATAACCATGCCTGTCTTATTCACCCTTTTATTCCTAGCACCTCCAGTACAGAGATTGGCACATAATAGAAGTTCAGAATAACCTTTTGGATGAATGAATTACATTGAATAGCAACTTGGGGAAATATAAATGTTTAACTCCAAAAAGCAGGAAAAATCATCACCTTAACTTGAAATCTTCCCCCAGAGAGCTGATAATTAAAGATTTACATAATACTTCCCATTGTTCAGCCCTTGATCCCTATGGTAGTTGAGCATATGAAACTTTGGTAGGATCATAGAGTTTTAGAGCTAAAAGTTACCTTAAGATCTACTACTACTTAAGCAGCTTCCAAATCTGGCAGTAAGCATAACCATGTGAGAACCTTTATTGATTTTAAAGATTTTTTTAATCCTCACCTGAGGCCATGCTTATTAAGTTGAGAAAGAGAGAGAGAGAGAGAGAGAGAGAGAGAGACAGAGAGACAGAGAGACACAGAGACACAGAGAGAGAGAGAGAGAGAGAGGGACACGCAATGTAAGAAAGAAACAATGATCCATTGCTTCCTGAATGCGCCTCAACCAGAGATCGAACCAACTGAGCTACCTGGCCAGGAAAACGTGGGAAATTTTTAAAATTCATATTCACTGATCCAACCCCAAGCTTATGTGATTAGAATATAGTTGAGAAAGCCCCTAGCATCTGTATGTTAAACAAGTTCCTTAAATAATTTTTAGGCAAGCCACAGCCAGCCCTTGGGAAAATCTAGAATAGTTTCCTAATGTTACTGATACAATCAGATAAAAGTCCAATGACTTACCTAAAGTCATTCAATTAGAAGTTACAGAGCTGGAAATGGAACCTCTCTCCTAATTCACTCAACCCAGTTTCTGTTCTACGCTACTGTACTTAATTCTGACCCTACTATTTCACAACCTGGGAGCATTTGGACAGAGGAAGCAAGTACTAAACATTAAAATTTATAAAGCATTCCTGCCAATAACTTCCCAATGTTTAAATGAAAACTCTTTTGAAAAATTCCTCTTTATTTTTGGCTAGTTTTGAGAAATAGCTTTAAGATAAAGTAACTGTTTTTGATTAATGAAAGAAAAAAATCACCTTTGCTCATGGAATCCCTGACATCCAAACTTCTTTGCAGCTTAGCAAAGTGCTATTTGACTATTAGCACTAAACAATATGCAAATTCAAGCTTGTGAAGAGTTATGTCATCTGCACACATATAAGTCTCCTTGCCTTTAAGCAGCACACTAGGTTTCTGCTTTATGTTTAGTAACACACACAAAAGAAAGGACAGTAAAGACATCCCATCCAGAGAAGTCTGAGACAAATGTCTAAAACTAAAGTGTGCTCACATCTCAATAAATGGTAAGTAATTTCCTCTGGAATGCCCCCATGTCCTTTGAAAGAAAGGAAAGGTTCCCAAACAGACTTACATTCATAAAAACATCTTGAGTGTAGTTGTCAGTGTCAGCATCCCAGAAACAGCGGGCAGCCATGCTAAAAAGTGAAAGATTGGAGAATTACCAACAACATAACAGGACCTGAAACATGGATCTGCCAGCAGCAAACATTTTCCTTGATACATCCTTTTAGATCAGTGCTTCCAAACAGAAAAACCTATTTGTACAGCGGAGTATGCCAGGTAAACTCAAGGGCCTGACTCACAGATAAGGTTGCTGGCAGCTGGAGGTGACCAATCAACCAATCGATGTGTCTCTCTCACATCAGTGTCTCTCTGCCTCTCCCCTTCCCTTCCACTCTCTCTAAAGACCAATGGAGAAAATATCCTCGGATGAGGATTAATAACAACAACAAAAATCTGAAATATCTGGGTCATACCAAAACCCCCGAACTATAGAAAAAAGAATGCTGTCTATATTTATATACGTAAAGTTGTGTCAATAGGGTTTAGAAATAATATGATGGAACAGTTTCTAGCAACTCAGTACGCCCTCCCAGATCAATCAGGAAAACTGGATAAAATAAATCGGAGTTGCTGAAGCAAACAGGACTGGGGGAGCCAAAATTCCACAGAGGTGAACCGCCAAGAGGTAAACGGATATTCTGCACTGGAGTTCTCCCCGGGGTGTTTGCTAACTCTGGGCACACAGCTAGAGGCTGAGGTATGGGTTTTGTCCAGGTACGGGAAAAATAAACCATCTGGACTAGAGAGGGAAAATAAACCAGCTGGACTAGAGAGATAAAATTGCAGGGCCAGAGAGATAAAACTGGAGACTTGAAGGACCAAGATCCCTGTAAAAAAGGAGAGAGAGAACTCAGCTTTAACATTACAGGGTAGGTTCCCCCTCACATTTGCTAAATTCTGAAACTGTGTAAGTATAACTTAAAAAACTAAGAGTGCTGGGAACAATAATATCCTCTCACTAAAATATATCTATGACCTAACTCCCAGAACCTAGGGATATGTTACAGTACATGGCAAAAAGGGTTTACACGTATATGATTAAGCTAAGGATCTTGGATGGGGACAGTAACATGGATTACCCAGGTGTGCTCAGTGTAATCACAGGTCCTTATAAGAGAAAGAGGGAGGCAGGTGGGTCAGAGCCAGAGAGATATTTGAAGATGGTATGCTGCTGGTTTTGCAGAGGGAGGAGAGGTTTGTGAGGTAAGGAATGCAGGCAGCCTCTATACGCTGGAATAGGCAAGGGAATGGATTCTCTGCTGGAGCCTCCAGAGGGAATACAGCCATGCCAACCCTTTTATTTTAGCTCAGCGGAACCCATTTTGATTTATGTTCTCCAGAACTGTAAAATAATATATGTACTGTTTTAAGACACCAGGTTTGTCATTTGTTCAGCAGCAATAGGAAGCCAATGCATCAAGGGGAAAGGCTCTAAAACGAAGAGTAGTTTTGTGCTGAGAAAACAAGGACTAAAAGTCAGTCCTTGCTGGAGTGGGGCTCTTGGTTGAGAAACCTGGAGAGCTACATGCAAGAAAGAAGGGTGCTTAATTCTCACAATATCCTTGTGAAGGGGCGTTATTGTACAAGTTTCACAGATGAGAAAACAAACCCGAAAAAGTTAGAGAACCACCCAATGGACAAGCCCTGCCCTGAATAATGGTTGCAAGGACTGAATAGGATGACATTGCTAAGGGCTTACTCCAGTGCAAGTCACAGAGAAGACAGTGGTAATAACAGCAGGACAGCAATAGTAGCAGAAGATGTAACAGCCGTGACACCCTTGTCCTGTTGAGGTTGCTTGACGATCACAATGAATGTCAATGATGAGGCCATTTACACAGTTTGCAGGACCCAGTGCAAAATGAAATTGGGTCTGGCCAGAGGCAGGGAAGTAAAAAAAAATTTAAATTAAGTAGTGGAGGAGGGGTGGGGGAGAGGAGAGGAGGAGGCGGAACCAAAGATAGAGAAAGCTTTATCAAAACTACAACAAAATCTCAACTCAGCTCAGTACCTGACTGGATTAAGGTAAGCAGGCCATACTCTACCTGAATCAAAAAGGAAATGTAAACCCTCTTTAAAAGAAAACAGTATTATGCAGGCGTCCTCAAACTTTTTAAAGTGGGGGCCAGATCACGGTCCCTCAGAGAGCTGGAGGGCCGGACTATATGAACTACTAATTCCTACTGTAACACCTCGGCTGCGCTCACTGCCCAAAAAACCTGGCGGGCCGGATCAGACTCCTCTGTGGGCCACATGTGGCCCGCGGGCCGTAGTTTGAAGACGCCTGACTAGAGATTCTACAAGCTGTTTTTTAACACAATGCCCAGGATTCAAACTAGCATGCCAAAGGACAGAGCCATGAACAATTATCAAGAAAAAAAAAAATCAATGGAAACAGATTCACACCTGATCTAGGTATTAGAGTTAGCAGAAAATGACTAACATAACTTATATGACTAAAATGTAAAAAGGGAGGAGAGAAGAAGGATAGAGAACATAGGTTAAAGATAAAGAATTTCACCAAAAACTAGAATGTATGAAATATTTAAATGGAAATTCTGGGGCTGAAAAATATAATAACTGAAATTAAGAATTCAGTAGGTGGCTTGAATAGATACAACAGAAAAGAAGATTAGTCAACTGAAAGACAGGTCAATAGAAAAATATCCAGCCTTGCCCTAACCGGTTTGGCTCAGTGGATAGAGCATATTGGCCTTTGGACTGAAGGGTCCTGGTCAAGGGCATGTACCTTGGTGGCGAGCACATTCCCAGTAGGAGGTGTGCAGGAGGCAGCTGATAGATGTCTCTCTCTCATCGATGTTTCTAACTCTCTATCCCTCACCCTACCTCTCTGTAAAAAAATCAATAAAATATATATTTTTTTAAAAAAAGAAAGAAAAATATCCAGCCCTAGCTGGTTTGGTTCAGTGGATAGAGTGTTAGCCTGTGGAACAAAGGGTATCGGTTTTCATTCCAGTTAAGGGCATATGCCCGGGGTTGCGGACTCGATCCCCGAGGGATGGGGAGAGGGAAGGAGGTGCAGGAAGCTGCTGATCAATGATTCTCTCTCATCATTGATGTTTCTATCTCCTTCTCCCTTCCTTTCTGAAATTTACTTTTTTTAATTATTTTTTTTTAAAAGAAAAATATCCAAACTGAAGCACAGAGAGCAAAAACAAAAATTTAGTCAAGAGCACAAGAGATGTGGAATATAGTAACAAATCTAAATACATGTAATTGGAGTCTGAAAGGGAGAGCAGAGTCCAGGTGGTGTTGCTCAGTGGTTGAACCCGCGAACCAGGAGGTCGCCAGTTCAATTCCTAGTTAGGACACATGCCCAGGTTGCAGGCTGGATCCCCAGTAGGGGGTATGTCGGAGGCAGCCAATCAATGATTCTCTCTCATCATTGATGTTTCCATCCTTCTCTCCATTTCCCTTCTTCTCTCTGAAATCAATAAAAACAATTTAGGGGGGGGGGGGGGGGGAAGAAGACAAGCAGAGCAAATAGAACACAAGCACTAGTAGAACAGAAGCACTAGTTTAAAAGATAATGGCCACACCCGGCACCCAGATTTTAGTTTCTAATGCCGTTCTCCAATAAAATGGACCAGGGCTCCTTGGAGAAGTGGCTGATTCTAGGCTGGAGAGGGAATGAATAAATATATAGTAGCACACAGTGCAAGTAAGGAAGGAAGTGCTCCAAAAAATCACAATGGTAGAGTATGCCAAAGGGACACAGGAGTCAACTGCAAGAGCTCAAATGGCCAAAGCTGGAACACTTTCAGTAACAAAATTAAGTAATGCTGAATTGTAATCCACAATATAAAAATCCACGAGTACATACTGAAATAAGTAAATGACTGAATAAAGGAATAAAAGAAAAAGAGACAAACCTATGCTGAAATTTCCAAATAATTTATTTATGAGCTATTCTGCTCTCAAGGAGGTAGAGGATAACTCCCTGCTCCTAAGTGTGGGCTTCACATGGTGATTCTGTATAGTGTGAAAGGGGAAGAAAGAGTAATTTTACAGGGGAAAACCTAACAAACATTACCTGAGGCACATGAGCATATTAATGGGAATAAATCATGTTGATAATATGTACCCTGATATGATATGTTATGATGAGAAAAGCACTTTACCTCTGATCTTTCTCCCAAGAACCTATTATAAGCAGACTAATCATGAGCAGGCAAATCCCAGTTGAGGGAATTTCTACATAATACACAACCAGGAGTTCTCAAAACTGTCAAGGTCATCAAAACCAAGGAGAGTCTGAGTAATTGTCACAGCCAAGAGGAGCCTAAAGAGACATGAAATGTGATATCCTAGAGAAGATTCTAGAACAGAAAAAGGACTAGGTAAAAACTAAAGAAATGTGAATTAAGTATGAACTCTAGTTAATAATAATGCATCAATATTGGTTCATTAGTTGTGACAAATGTATCATTAACATCCTACTATAAAAATATAGGATGTTAATGATAGAGGAAACTAGCTGTGGAGTATCTGTACTATTAGGTCTAGTAATAATGTCGTTTTCTAATACTTTTTTAAATCGAATTTATTTGAACAATACAACAAAATTTAATCAACAATATAGTTGCCATTGTTTTCTACTACTTGTGCCCAACGCTCAGGAAGCATTTTAATCCCTCTGTTGTAAAATTCTTGTGATTTTGATGCAAAAAATTCGGTCAATGCATTTTTGAGGCATTCTTCATTATTAAATTTTTTCCAAGAAGAAAGTTTTGCAAAGAACGAAACAAATGGTAATCGGAAGGGGCAATATCAGGAGAATATGCAGGTTGAGGGAGAACTTCCCATTCCAACTGGCGCAGTTTTTCAGCAGTGATTCTTGCAGTATGCGGTCGTGCGTTATCGTGGTGAAGAATGACGCCCTTCCGATTAATCAGCGCGGGTTCTTTTTCTCTTAAAGCTTGGGCTAACCTTTCCAATTGGGCACTATACACTGCACTTGTAATGGTTTGGTTAGATGGTAAAAGTTCGTAATGAAGAATTCCTTTAAAATTCCTTTAAAAACACACAACATCACTTTTTTCGCATGCAA